CTGGCTGGGGAATTCTGGGAGTTGAAGTCCACACATCTTAAAGTGGCCAAGGTTGAAAAATACTGTTTTTGAGTTCAGAGACTGGCTGCCCGCCAGGAGCACACCAAACAAGGGGGAAGGAATGGAGGCCCTGTTGCGATCGCATCAAGCCGAAGCTCAGGAAGGGCCCGTCCAGTTGAACGGCATGGAAAGACTCATGGTTTCTCCTTTTTTCCTTCTTTCCCCCTCTCCACCATAGGAAATAGTGACCACAAAGTTTGAAATCTCCAAGATGGAATAAAGTTTGGATCCTGGCAAGTTGCTTCAGCCGCACTCACTTTCTGGCGGGTTTTGTACAAAGGATGCGTTGAAGATGCCCACTTCTTTCTTTCATTTTCCAACTGGTGGTTTTTATGTTATATATAAATATATACACACACACACACACACACACACACATCCATGAGCGTGCACATACACAAAAATACACACACACACACACATATATACATATACATATATATATATATTTGTAAATGTTAAAAGGATTATTTTATTACATTTTGCGTTTCTAATTCTGGAGCTTTTGCCAGACAAGGACTCCTGACCTGCCTCCTGCTGGAGAGGAGGATTGTTGAGAGCAGAACTTCCCTCCCAGTTTCTGGAACGCTTTTTTTCTGCAATTGGGTCAACGTCTGGGGTTTGTTCTCAGCAGCTGCCCACAGTCAGGTGTTGACTGTTGGGGCTCCGTGGGATGGGCAGGGTTGGGTCAGGTCCGAGTGTGAATCTGGAGCCAAAGGGAGCCTCGTCCATCGCCTCGTTGCGACTCAGGCTCCCCCCAAGAGACTCAGATGCTGACCAGGGACTTCAAGGCCGCCTCTGGCCAGGTTCGCCCGTGCGATGGTACAAGGGAGGGAAGAGCAGCCTCGAGATTTTGCCTTGGGGGAGACAGAAAAGAGGCCTGTTGCCCCTTCTGGGGGTGCCCCCTTTTGCAAAGAAGAAACGGGCAGTGGGCTGCCCAGGTCTGAACGGGCCTCTTTTCTGCAGATGGTGTAGGAAGAGGGGTGCATGTTGGCAAGACCAAAGCCTCTGAATTGGGCAGATCTGAGGGAGTGTTTGGGCAAGCGTAACATCTCCCCCTGGATTCAGCGGCTGTTTTGTTTATTTGAGCCCCAGAAACTTCCTTGAAAGGGGATGAAAAGCACCTGGGTTCCCTGGGGTGCCGCGTCAGAGCAGCTGCTGCGGTGTGCCCGCGTTAGGCGTTCCCTCCCACGTGGGAGTGGGCGGTGAGCGGCCCTCAACGTTCACTGGCCGGATTGTGGCCCCTGTGGCGTAGCTGCGTTGGCTCTCTGCGTTGCGTGGCTGATGCGTCGCTGCAGCCTTACAGTGCTTAAGAGAACGCTATTTATTAACTGACATGGCACAGCAGGACCTTCCGCTTCATCCTTCCTTGCTTTTTGCTTGATGAAAATGATCTGTTTTTCCTTTCATAGCTAATCCAAAGCGTCTCCCGTTCTAATTTTACCGTCCGCTGGCCTTTGTCCTCTGCTCTCTCTCCAACGGGTTTGGGGCAGAAGGAGAGAAAGTAAATTACATCCAGCCCGGTTCACACTTCAAAAAACGCTTTTCAATTTCCCCCCTTTCTCAATTTCTGAATTTATCTGGAGCTGAACTTCAGTAATCCTATTGGAAAGCATTCTCTACCGATGACATCTTTTCATTTGAGATCCATCCAGATGACAACTGGGGTGGGGTGGGGGGGCTGGTGAAGGAAAGGAAGATTTCTCAAGTTACTATTAATTTATTTTGAAATTGTTCATATATCTTTGGAGAGGGAAAGCCATGAGTGTTTAATGCAGTAATATTTTTAAAATAAACCACTGTCCCACTAATTCATGTGCATGTCTTATGTTCCCCAGCAAAAAAGTTCCGTTTGCAGCAAGTAACGTTACAGAGAAAAGGATGAAAAATATCCAGTCAAGGCTCAGAGTTACATTTCTGTTAGAATTTAGCCCCATAACTTGTAACTGGAACGGTGAGATAAGCGACAGCATTTCCAGACTGGACTGCTTGCAATATGAGTTCCATTCAGTTTAAACAGGAGGAAAAACTCCTAAAATGATGTTTGCTTTCAGCCCGCTTCTCTTTTTATTCCTGGCCATGAGTTCACTTCATCACATTCCCACACTCATTTGTGTTTTTTCCAAAACACAAAATGCGTACGTGTTACTTCCAACAAGGGCTCTTTTTACAACCCGTGTGACCTCATAGACTGTGTCTGTATTCTGTTAGGTTTCTTAAGCCGCGTGTTTTTCAACTGGCGAACTGCATTGCAGAATTCGGAACGGTGCAAAGGTGCATTGCTCTGCATACTGTATTTACAAGGATGAATGAATAGATTTACATTTTAAGACGGATGTGCCTAGCAAATCTCTCCCCGCTGCCAGATAGGAGTTTCAAGTTCAAAGGGTGCTTTTCATAACATCAGAATGAGAGATTTCTTGCTGTCACTTAAGTTTTTGCAGGTGTTCAAATGCAATTGGAAGAGATGCTGTATATGCAGGAACTAAATCATTTACTGAAATGTTGCATTAACAGGGAATGCATTGAGCCCTGAGCTGTTAATTAAACCTTCAGGCTAGATTTTTATGATGCACTTTGCAAAAGGATATTGGGTCATGTGAAGGCTGGGAAATGGGGTTCCTTGGATCGGGTAGTGGGATAAATAATACTTTTAGTAGGTAATACTTACATCATTGCCATCAGTCCAGGTCTGGCTTCTCAAAGTTGTTCTGGACAAATTAAGCTATTGTCAGTTTCCCTAACACCTTCAGGTTCTCAGATAAACAGGATATTCAGGGAGAGTTTTCAGGGCACACTTTTTTTTTTTGAGGATCAAAGTGCGACACTGGTGCTAACTCTGGGATCAGGTCCCTCTTCCTGCCACAACCAACCACGCGATCCGGCCTCCTTTTTCTCTTCTTTATTAAAAAAAATGGCTGATGCCAAAGGTGTGAAATAGGTAGCCCTTGTACAAAAACACCCACCTTCCAAAGCTGCAAATTTCCCAAGGTTGTATACAACCCAAGTCACGTTTGGTCCCCTGAGGAACGTGCCAGATGCAGAGCAGGTTGGTGGAGCTTCATCACAAGCTCCTCTCTTCCGAACGTCGGTCGGTGTGACCCAAGCAGCTCGTGGCCACAGGATGATATCCTGGCTGTTTGCGCTGATGACTTTTTTTTAAAAAGGTGAGCCCAATCTTTGCAAGAGGACTGCTCCAAGATGGCCCTTCAGACTGACTTAGGTCCAGGACAAGCGAGTTCTTGAGGTCCAGAAGGAGCTGGTGCGACTCCTTTGCTCTGCAGAAGCTTTGTTCATGACGGTGTCCCCATCCTAGAACCCTTTCTAAGTGGGGGGTGGGCCCTCATATTTCAGCATGAGGTGGAAGGATTTGGCAAAGCCATTTGTCTGCAGACAGGGGGGCTCAGAGATGGGGAGGAAAGAGGACTTGGCCAGCAACACCACCAGGACTGCAAAAGTGGCAGTCAGAAGCAACCAGAGGACAGATGTTCTGCAGAGCTTCTGGGGCGGGACAGAAACCACTGAGGGCAGCAGCAAATCACATCTGGAGAGAGACGGGAATAAGGTTCGAGCTTAGATTCAGAGGGGCCACTCAGTAGCCAGCCAGACCAACTGCATATATTACCTCTGCGTTCCTCACCAAAACGTACAGACGTGCATCCTGTTAGCTAAGTAAGTTGTTCCAAGAAAGGAAAGCTACACATATTCAATTAACAGGAAATTAATTGCCAGAGTCAGTCAGTCGCACCTCTGAAATTTTTTAGCCAAGATTCCCACAAGCCTGCAGTTAATACTCTCTCTTATTAGGAATATAAATTTAATATTAATATAATATCTAATATATTAATATAAACTAATATTAGTTTATATTAATATATTTGTAATGGAAAGGAAGCAACTTGCTGGAAACCTCAAATTCTTCTGGCCTTTAAAGTCCAAGTGACACAGCTCGAGGCAATTCGATAGTAAGCCATACAGGCTCAGAGTACAAAAGCTTGCCCCGTGATCTAGAATTCGTAGCTTCCTCTATTCTTACTGTTAAGATTTCCCTATATTTAAGGTGCACCTGGGTGGGATTAAATGAAACTAGTACGTATTGGTAAATGCACATGTCAAAATCCTGCAAGGGGCTATGGATAATAGCTGAAGTTTGGGCCAGATGTTTAGATAGTGTATTTGGAGTGCAGCATGTGCGCTGTCCAGGTTGGGGCACCCCTGACCCTCTTCCATCTCACCCACCCTTGTTTTTTACAGATCATCCTTGTGAGTGGCAGACACATCCCACCAGTGCTCCATTCTGGGATCTTCTGCCTAAGATGGGCCCAGGATATCACCATCACCATCATCATGATTGTCATATACAGGTAGTCCTCGACTTATGACGGCAACTGGGACCTGAATTTCCATTGCTAAGCAATGTGGTCGTAGAGCGGGAGCCAGTTGCCAAGTGCTCGGATCACGATCACATGACTGTGGGGGTTCTGGGACGACTGGGACTCCGAGAACCAGTCATTACCACCCTTCATTCAGCGCCACTGTAACTTCAAATGGTCACTGAACGCACGGTCATAAGACAAGGACTATCTGTATGCTGCCCAACTCCCAGGTTGTCCAGTACAGAGAGAACCCTCCTGACCCAACCTGGAAACCTCACTCGCCACATATCCAGTTTGCACACTTGCAATTACAGTAGTCACAATCCCAACAGCACCTTGCCAGGGACACACTGGCTGCACATCCATACAACGCACACAGCCTGGTTACTAAACTAACCCATTTTTTCAGCTTGCATGACACAGTGGCCGAAACAGGCTGCATCCATAGAAACACTAAGTTACTCTCAAAAAGTTCTAAAAAGCCACTTACTCTTTCTCAACAGTAACCATAATTTCTGCTGACTGGGAATGTAGCAATGTCTTCTTGGAGATCTAAGAAGAGATGCGCAAGAAGAGGGTAACAAAAATGAAACTTTTTCTTAAAGAATCAGAGCAAGCAGCAGCACCAGCTTTTAAAACTCCCTTCCAAAACACAGAGGTTATTTGCAGCATGGCCAATGCGGAGCCAGTTCTAAGGCAAGAGATGGCAGAGCCGGCTGGACGGCAGAACTTTCGTGAGCCCATCTCCTTAGTGGGAGCTGGCTGGGAGAGAGGAGAAGGCACTTTCTGCATGCTCAGGAGATCCTTGCAAATTGCATCTGTGATCTCCCAGCCAGGTCCTGCATGGGTTCACTTTTGCTTCGTTCCTCAGTTATCGTTGACACAGATTCCACCAGCTCTAGGCAATCAATTTGGTAAGGCCTTACCCATCGATCCTTCTCCAGCGAAGACTGGCTGGTGACGAGGCTCTGTCTGCCTTTCTTCTTGGCCCAACGCTGGAGCTTCTGCCTCCTCGTCTGTTCCCCCCTCGTCTGAATTTGCAGAGGGAGCTGCGGCTCCCTGGCCGGTGGGAGCACATCCACGCCGGTTCCGACGCCCTGCAAGGTGGAGGAAGAGAAGCAGCGTGACAGGGGTCAGGCGCCAGAAGGCCAGAGGCTCCACCCCACCCTCACCTTTCCTTCGCGCCTGGCAGAACGAGGCAGGGCTTGCTAGGCGTGAGGGAGGAGGAAAAAGACCCACAATGTAATTGTAATCCCACAAAAACTCGGTTTAAAGCATCTTGGACTCGTGTGAACAGAAGCAATCCACCCCAAGAATTTCTGATATATAAAAGGGGGGAGGGATATCAGGTGTGATTTTTGTCTCCACTCCGCCTCCTCGCCGGTGGATTGCCCACTGCATTCCCGCAGCTTCTCCCTGGGGAAATGCAATCCTTGTTGGAAAAAACATGTCCCCCCCTCCAATAACGGCCTGCACAGCTTCAGACCGGTCTGCATACAAAGCTTCTCAGCCACAGCGCCACTGGACATCACTGGTCTGCTACTGAACCGGGAGGACGAATTCTCTGACTCGGCGGATTCCCTCTGCTTCATATCCCTTCTGCAAGTTCTAACTTTGCTTCACCAGAAGAATAGTGTACCTTTTTGATCTCTGGGTGCACCCCCATCTTGCTCTGGCAGTTCTGGTCCAGCCAGGTCTCGATCCGTTTGGGATCAAATCCTGTGGCTTCGATGTGTTGGCAGCAGACCCCTTTCCTTGGCAGCTGAGTGGCTCTTTGCTCCTGGGGAGGGAAGTTTCCTACCCAAAGGGGACAACACAGTTGAAATCTGGCTCCAGAACAAAGCTTTCGATCTGCAAACTAAGGAATCTTCAGCAACTATCAGAAAGATAAACCTTAAAGAACTTAAGCAGCTTCCCCCTCCCAATGCAGCAGGACCACACCATTGGCTGAGGAGGTGGAGGACGAATGCTGTGATCCCAGCAAAACTGAAGGACATCCAGTTGGCTAAACCTGCTCTGAATCAGTAGCTTTAAACGGCATGTTGACCGAAAATTTTGGATATGTGATCTCTGAATGGAGGAAACAGCACAGGTTGTCCTCTTTAGCAACCATTCGCAGTTACAACGGTGATGAAAAAGTAACTTTGCGACCAATCCTCGCATTTATGACCTTTGCAGGTCTGTAAAGCAAAGGAAAGCTGAAGTCAGATTGTAAGCACAGGGGTGGTTTCACTTAGCAATCGCTTCGCTTAATGATGGGGTTGCTGGTCCCAATTGTTGTCACTGCACGAGGACAACTTGTATACAATTTGTGGAGCAGGTCAACGGCTATTGTCAGATAGTTCATCACTATAACAGCAAACAGTGGGCTAAACCTATCATACGGCTGCTTTTTTTTAAGAGAAATGAACTTACCAGAAATATCTGTTTTCATCTGGTCGGCCCCCAAGCAATTGCACTGTTCCCATTCCTCCTGGAAACTGCTCTGCACCTGCGCAATTGCCAGAGAACAGGGAATGCAAAGCGCAGCGAGAAAGAGGCTCCTGGTTCTCCTCCCCACCACAACCATCAAAGAGCTTTGCAAATTTACAGTCTCCGTCAGTTCTACACCCAACCCAAAGCAAGGAAGGGCACCTGCCAGGAGCTATTAGTCGCAGCAGCGGGAGGAATGCCTCCCCATCAGGGGCAGTCTACCTGTCTTTTAAAATGCAAGTACTGTACAGGCCAACCTAGAGCATTTCTTCCAGGATTTTCTTTTTAAACAGAAAAGCAGTTGTGGGGTAGCAATTATTCATTTCTCCAACTCGCCCTGGGCCTAAGCCCCACTGCCCCCTTCTCTCAAACTCCTCCATTTTATTTATTTATTTATTTATTTATTTATTTATTTATTTATTTCATTTTTCAACCGCCCATCTGCCCCCAATGGGGGAACTCTGGGCGATTCACAACAAACATTAGAACATAAAATATATAAACA